AAATAGAGGAACAAATGGCATTCACTTGATTCTGAGAAGTGTTACCAAAACAAACACAAATATTTTAAATCAGAAGAACCATTTAAATCGCTTAAAGTTGGGAACCTTTGGCCCTCTAGATCAGGCTTCCTCAAACTCGGTCCTCCAGATGTTTTTGAGACTATAGTTCCCATCATCCCTGATCATTGGTCCTGCTTGCTAGGGATCATGGGAGTTGTAGGCCAAAAAACAGATGGAGGGCCAAGTTTGAGGAAGCCTGCTCTAAATACTGTTGAACTCCAACTCCCATCAGCCCAGTCAGTATTGTGGGTAACCAGAAATAGAGGTAAAAGGTAAAGGACCCCTGGACGGTTAAGTCCAGTCAAAGGTAACTATGGGGTTGTGGCGCTCATCTCGCTTCAGGCCGAGACGGTGTTTTTCCACAGACAGCTTTCCTGGTCATATGGCGAGCTTGACTAAACTGCTTCTGGCTCAATGGAACACCATGACAGAAGCCAGAGCGCACGGAAATACCATTTACCTTCGCGCCGCAGTGGTACCTATTTATCTACTTGCACTGGCATACTTTTGAACTGCTAGGTTGGCAGGAGCTGGGACAGAGCAACAGGAGCTCACTCCATCATGGGGATTCAAACCGCCGACCTTCTGATCGACAAGCCCAAGAGGCTCAGTGGTTTAGACCACAGTGCCACCTGCATTGCTGGTAACCAGAAATGATGAGAACTGTAATTCAGCAATATTCTGAAGGATTGCCCACTTAGATTTAAGGACATGAAGGGCTTTTTCACTCCTTCCTCTCTTGTAACTTTCCACCCCAAATTCCTCCTCTAATGTTTTTAGTTATGCAGAAACAATCATTATTTTTCTTATAAGAGAACAAAAAAGCATATTCACTCACTTGTTGATTTGTTCTCTCTCTCTCTCTCTTTGTGTGTGCGTGTGTTCAAATGTTTTTTTCATACCCAAAGTGCCAGAGCTAATAGAAATCTGTTGATTTGGATCTGTGGCTGCTTCTATTTTGGAACTTTTTTATTTTTAAAACACAAATATTTTGAAATGAAGCAGCACACCTAGTTCCAGCCTTCCTTAAAAAAAAAACAGCTGTATAAACCTGTGGGTTGGTGTGTACTTTGTGGCTGGTTTTTCACTAAGGGTTACATTTTTTAAGTTTCTCTTGGAAATAAATATCTACTCCTCAGCAATATTTTTTAAATAATCCCTTTGTCCATTTGTGTAAAAGTTAAAATTAGTCTGCAGAAAGAGCACTAGAGCCAAGCTAAGACGTGGGGTGCGGGAAGAGATTTTGTGACCATTTCCTTCCCCTGTGAAATGCACTAGCCTTTTCAGATATTATTTGAGTGTTATTGTTTGGATTTATTTATGAGTTGGCATTGCCAGCCTTAATCCTACCCCAATGATACAAAATTCAAGCAATCCGTGCTCCCATACCTGGTATTCCAGCAAAACAATGTTCTACTGTGAGCCTCTTTGTAGTTGCTACTGGCTGTAGCTTCACATGTAGATTTCTTCGGGGAAAGAATACTTTTATTTTTTCCCTCATAGCAGAGATGTTGTTATATACCGTATTTTTCGCTCTATAAGTCGCACTTTTTCCCCTCCAAAAATTAAAGAGAAATGTGTATGTGTCTTATGGAGCAAATGCAGGCTCCATGGCTCCATGGCTTCAACGAAAGTAGCGAAAGCTCTCCAGGCTTCAGGGATAGCCGCCTGAAGCCAGGAGAGCGAGAGGGATCAGTGCGCACCGATCCCTCTTGCTCTCCTGGCTTCACTTCGCTGGAGAGGCGCTGCGCAGCTTTCCCTCTCTGTGCAGCGCCCCTTCAGCGAAGCGGGAGGAGAAATGGAAGGGGCTCCGTTTCTCCTGCCGTTTCACTGAAGGGGCGCTGTGCAGAGAGGGAGGGATTTTTTTTTTCTTGTTCTTCCCCTCTAAAACTAGGTGCGTCCTATGGTCGGGTGCGTCCTATAGAGCGAAAAATACGGTATGTCACCAATCTGATTTGGCTATGTGGCGATGTCACCAAAGGCAAATAACGATAGTTCGGAATGAGGACAATTGGTCTGTTCAGAATTTTGCTCACAATTTGCCTTATCTCAGCACTGGCTTCTTTTTTAAAACCTCAGTTAAATGATATCATTGTGTAGATACTGTAGTCCTGATTGTTTGTTTGCAAGATGATAGCAAATTTATTAAGAGATGAAAGGTTCTTTTTTCCTCTCCTTTGAGCAAAAACAGTGCTGAAATGGTGACCACTTGCGGCTGCAAACAACCGGGAACAGACACAAAAACCATAAACTTTTGAGGGTCTTTCATGAAACCCCAGGTCCCCAAAGTCTCTTATTTGCACTGAAAGTGTTTATCGGGCAACATTTGGCTCAATCCAAGTTTCCACATTATTATTTATTCTGTTCTCTCTTTCTCTCTCTTTTGCCAGAGGGGAAAAAAATAAAATTCCAGCAGCCTGGGTCCTGTTTTACAACTCAAATGCTGAACAAATGTAATCTCTCTCTGCAGTAGGACTCAATCATATATTCCTACTGGTGCAGTTTCAAGCACCGCGGCATTAATCAGCTCTGCTTATTTTAAATATAACTGCTGGAAAAGATTTCCAATTGTGTCAATACTTTCAAAACGCGAGAACTGTAGTGAACTGGCCGTCCCTTTGCAAACACTTATTAAAATACATACCCTTAGAACCATCGGCTGTTTCTTAGCATTGACACTTATTTAGATTCAGTGTGGAGTGTTAGATTTGGAGTTATGCGCCGAATGCTGATAAATATATCTGCAGATACATATTTGCAACCGAAGCGGGGTTAGGGAAAATTAAATAAAATAGGACTTCAGGTTCATTGAATGTGTATTTTCATTTTCCTGTATGTATCATGCCCAGTATAATATTGCAGTGGCAAAAACAAACAAACACACAACCTCAACCCCCCTCCCCCCAAAAAACCCCATATGACACCCAAGTCTAAAGCAGGAATGGGCCATTTTTTCGTTTGCAGGGCCATTCTGTGTTCCAAACAGCAGTCCAGGGACTGAGAGTATATTTTGCAATGTAGCCCAGCTGCATCATGAGTGATCAGATTCCCAAATAAAGTTAGTAAAGGTAATAATAATAATAATAATAATAATAATAATAATAATAATGGTAAAGGACCCCTGGATGGTTACGTCAAAGGCGACTATGGGGTTGCAGAGCTCATCTCACTTTCAGGCCAAGGGAGCTGGCATTTGTCCACAGACAGCTTTCCGGGTCATGTGGCCAGCATGACTAAACCGCTTCTGGTGCAATGGAACACCGTGACGGAAACCAGAGCGCACAGAAACGCCATTCACCTTCCAGCCACAGCAGTATCTGTCAGGAGCTCATCCTACACTCGAGTAGGACCCTGGCAGAGGCACATGCCCGACTGGCATGTTCTTTCCCTCCTGGTCGATCGTTCGGGAGCTTCAAACGCTTTCTTCTGCCCGAACATCACAGCGACCGATGCCAACAGACATCGGCACACTTAGGGATCCACAGATTCTTCACAGCTTGCGTAACAGAACTCAGCAACTCAGCATTTTGGCAAATCTACTTTATTTACATATAAACACTCAGGGAGCACTGCAACATGGCTCCCTCTCTCTCTAGCATCAGACAGCAAAGAGAAAAAGAACAAAGGACAATAGTCCCACTTCACGGAACACAGTAACACAAACATCCTGTCTCCGTCACTTCCCACTTTGTGGAGTCAAAACATATACCGTCATTTGATAGACAACAATCCCATGACTGCAGTCATGGAGCAGGAATTCTAACAGTACCTATTTATCTACGTGCACTTTGACGTGCTTTCGAACTGCTAGGTTGGCAGGAGCTGGGACAGAGCAACGGGAGCTCACCCCGTTGCGGGGATTCAAACCCCCGACCTTCTGACTGGCAAGCCCAAGAGGCTCAGTGGTTTAGACCACAGCGCCACCCGCGTCCCTTGTACCACTAGTTGTTAATAATAAGTACTAGTAATAACCAGAGGTGTAGTGGTCCGGGGTTGTAGGGTTGTGGAGGAAGACCCATTATTATTTCTGCAGAGGGGTCTCCGCCTCCAGCTTCCCAGGGTCCCTCAATCAGCACGAAATGGAAGGTTTTTAGCCAAAGAGAAATTGTCTCTTCATCCTTTGTGCTGATTGGAGGCAATTTGAGTGAAAGGAATCCGTTCATTGGCCTTGCAAAGCCCTGCCCATTTAGACCACTTAGACCATCTTACTTCCACTTCAGGGGCACATTTACTCACAGGAAACCCCCCTCCAGCTACAAAAGACGCTGCTGAACAGACTCTTGGTCTGTGGCATTGCTTAGGGTGTTTTGCTCGAGTTTGTTGCTGTTGTTATTGGTATTAATTTTTGTATTTTTATTTTTAGATCCTATTAAGTGGAGACTGTTTCAATTTGGCGGTGTGCTTTTTGATGTGTTTTATTTATTGCCTTTGACTTTTGTTGTGTTCATATTTATGTGAATCTTACCACGTTGTAAGCTGCCTTGAGCACTGTTTTAACTATGTAAAGGTAGCATGTAAATAAAAGGATGGTGGTGTCTTAAACTAGGTACAAAATGAAACATTGTCAAAATACAAAGCAATACATTGCTCTTGAACAAGCAAGCAATGAAGTCCTGTCTACTTTTTAGTCCTTAATACAGTTCAATAAAATTTCCTTTCTCTGGTCCCAGAGAGAGCAATCCTAGGCAAGCTTCTTGCTTGTTCAGGATCTATGAGCTGATTAACAATAACAATAATGTTATTATTTATACCCCACCCATCTGAGTTTTCAGGCTTAATCTCCCTGCTGTGCAAGATCTCTGCTCGAGTTTCCAGAGCAAGTAATCTATTAGCCTTAAACACTCCTCGCTGCATTTGCTAGAGACAAACCTATCATAGAATCAGAGAGTTGCAAGGGACCACGAGAATAATCTAGTCCAACCAATAGGAATATGCAGCTTTGCCATACAGGAATCAAACCTGCAACCTTGGCATTTTCAGCACCACACTCTAACCAACTGAGCTATCCTGGCTGCAATCATGCCTAATGCAAACCTCTCTGCATAGCATTTGAATGAATTCAAACATGGCATTTTATGCATATTAAACTTTAACATTTTCAAGAAAAAAAAGTATGTACTGTTATTTACTCGCACAATTCTCGGCTGAGCAGAGGTCCTAGTTAATAAGTCTTACGGCATAAGCAGTGGTCCATTTGTTGCAACCACAAATTTAGAATTCATTTTGTAGCAAGGATCATTAATGCCCAAACTGTAGCATGTGCTTCTTCTCAACAAACAACAAGTTAGAGGAAAAAGTGTTTACAAACTTTGTGAGCCTCCATTTAAGCATGCAATGCTTTGTTCCACTGTGTGTTCAGGTTTTGCATCTATTTTCCCCTCTTGAAATCTATATGCCAACTTATGGTGCGTTTGATATTGTACAGTACATTTGGCTTGTGACCTGTCTTGTATTTTTGCATTAATTTGTGTGCCTGTTTCTTCTGCTTTTCTCCCATAGCTATTGCAGTGAAGAAGACAAACCTGTGACCTGAAATTATCAACAAGTGTGAGAAACTAATGAGCAGGCCAGAGATATAATCACTTAGGACTGTATGCAGTTAAGTGATTCTCAGAATGGACCCATTGAAATCAGTGGATTTATAATAGCCAGTCATTTATTTCAACAGTATTATTCTGATTATGACTTGATGTCTGAAATATGGAAGGGAGAAAAGGACTCTCATTAAATACTCCTCTTGGAGTGCATTCAAAAATGGCCTGTCTTTTGGAACCCTTCATATTTCATAAACTCAGTACAGTGTTTTTTCTCAATATGTTCCATACTTTGATACTTTGAACTGGTTTGGTTCCTAGGCTGATTT